CAGTCTCCACACAATATTTCTCAGGAACGTTCATTTATCCTTTTCGTCCAGAAGAAATACATCAAGTCCTTGAAATTACAACCAACTCTACGATCCACGCAGTCCACCGTATCCAGTCAAAGAAAACAGGTTCACCCTTCACGTTCATGAAAGTTGTCAAAACTTCAAAAAATACAACAGATTTCATCCTCACCTTCGGCTGCTTCCTTGATTATCATCACTTTAAGGCAGAAAAACCTTACCGCAAGCCTCACCCACCCCATACCTTTCCTAACCCACCTCCAAGCCCACGTTTCACAACACCCAGAAGAAAACCACCGCTAACCAGTACTCTACCGTCCATCCTAATACAACAGACTAAGCTACTCAAACCTCACTCACTCCCGAATTACAAGATATGTCAACCCAAACCACCACTACTAGGAGAAAAAAAAGGCACCCAGACCCAGCCACAAGTCTTCACAACTACCAATGACGCCTATCAGCAAACCAACAATCCGCCTCCCAGCCCCAAGCCACTTTCTACTATATCATCGGCGTCAAGCTCACCGAACGCCCTAGTAATTGACACCTCCCCCGATCTCTACCTACCTGATGAACCTTTCTGTGCCTTCCGCTCACTCACCAATGACACCAAGGACTCCACGCCTCTACCACCTGCCTGCATCCAGAAACTGAGCCACTTTAGAACCGTGGCGAACACCAGGAGACTCCACAACAGATTCAATAACTAATCCACCCCCAGCACCGGACTTCACTTTGCCTTACCAACTTACTTCTTCTCGCTAATCGGGTACTGGTAACGAATCAGTCGTTTCCAATGAAAGTGGGTTTCCTCAGGGTACTCCCGTTTCCCCCACATTAAATTCTCGGCATAGGATTTTTAGATCCCCACCGCCCTGATGGACTATCTGTCCAATATCAGCCGTTTAGTTTAGTTTACTTTACTCTTCACTTTTTATTGTCTATAGTTATTCTCTCGATTACCTTTTTAGAGTTACATACCTCGTCTGCATTAATGTCCTATTTTCTCAAGCTAAGCCCATATTCCTAGACCACGAGCGGGGTAAAGGAGGATTGTCTGATCTTCGAGCACCCCAGATTAGTAATTATTTCTTCGGAAATAATTATTTTTAAATCTAAATAACTGCCAGGAACAAACAAGCAAACAACACACACTGAATTATTTAATCTTCGAGCACCCGTGATTAATAATTATTTCTTAGTTTTTCATTTTAGTTCTAAGCTATCACCAAAGCGAACTGATTATTCATACAACAAAATCTGATGATCCTATAACTTCTTGATGGAACCTTTAGTTGTTTACCTTTGAATTATAGGAATTCAAGTGCCATATCTAACTGAAGAGCTTTCTTTAAAGATCTGCTCTTATTTTGCTTCTACACAATTCTCACATCTTTGTCCATTGTGGTATCTATAAAATGGTCATGTGCCTGTGAATCCATCATTTTACGAAGAGCATCCAAATAAGATAGTTGAGTAAGCCTTTCCAAATCTTCTTCAAGCTCAGCTAAGGCCTCTTTCCTCCTTACCCTGTTCTAGGACTTTATTCTGACTACTTCTTTCTGGTGTGTCTTCCAAACCTGTTGGATAAGGCAGTTATCAATGCTCGATAGTTGTTAGAGCTCTCAACTAAAAGAGTACTTAATGTCATTAAAACTGATCTTTTTAAATGGGTAACAAGATGAATAGCTTGTTGTTTACTATGGAAACTGCTTTGAACAGAGGCTGATATTCCTTATATTGTACCTTTCCATCAGAGTCTATTGGTTTCTCACTCAGTTATTTTTGGAAATGGCTGCCTAAATTTTGTTACTGGAATTTGTAGTGACATGGATGACGTAATCCATATAGGTCCTGCACTAGAAGATGACATAGCAGCAGTAGCTATGATAGGTGTACACCAAATAAGTTATCCTATTCCACATTTTGCAGAAAACGGTGTTTTAAGTTGGAATTATTGTGCAGATGCAGAAAAAAGGTTTAGCTGGTTTAATCTTTCAACTCCCCAATTTGTATTTCAAATATTTCATTCTGTCACTGATGTTCTTTCCGACCTTAATTATTTCTTTTTTTTTACTCCTTCAGTTTTGCATTACAGCTTTTCTGTACTTTGTTGAAGTCATTTTGTACTTTGTTAATGTACTTTTGTATTTCTTCAATCTTATTGTTGTAATTCCTCTGTACATCTCCTATTGTTTCATAAGGACTTTCTTCAATCATATTTATTTTTCTTCTCATTTCTTCTTTAAACATTTCGCATTTTTTTAATTTCTTAAATTATTGTCTCATACCTCTAATTTTGTGGTTTTTCTTCTCGTCTTCTTTTATGATATTGTTACGCCTCCGTTCGTTAGTTAATTTTCCGTAAAAATTCTTTCCGAAGAAACTTTACCGATACAAGTCCTTTCTTAAATAAAACTGGTTTATTCTTTCTGAATACAACTTTGCAATACACTTAATTTCCACAGTCGCGCTATAACAAACGCTATAATTCACAACGAACGTCTCACGTGCTCAACAATACGTCTCTCTCTGTCCGCAGTTCAATTACACATTGTTGCTGTCACGTCTTGATCGTCTTATTTGTACAAGAATACCGAAATCTAGTAACCTCCCGACGCTTCATGAACGTTCTAGAAGCGCGTGGCGTGTTACTAGCGTCACGTGACCTCCGCTATCGTAATAATATTTTATAATCATATTTAGCAAAGCTTTGGTCTCGCATAGGGACCTGGCTGCAATGTTGAAATTGAACCAAAATTCAATTTTGATTTGTATTTTCACCAAAAGTATCCCAATTTTGACATTAGTGTTATAACGTATTGTTACGACAGCGGAAATCACGTGACGCTAGTAACACGTCATGAACTTCTAGAAGGATCCTGTCCCTTCCTGAATGCTGGAGCGTTTACTAGATTTCGGTATTCTTTTATATATAAGACGGTCAAGACGTGACGGCATCAATATAATGTTTAATTGAACTGCGGACAGAGAGAAAGAATTGTTGAGTCGAGCATGTGAGACGTTCGTTGTGAATTATAGCGTTTGTTATAGCGCGACTGTTGAAATTATGTGTATTGCAAAGTTGTATTCAGAAAGAATAGACCAGGTTTATTTAAGAAAGGACTTGTATCGGTAAAGTTTCTTCGGAAAGAATTTTTACGGAAAATTAACTAACGACCAGAAACGTAACAGTATCCTGTCATTGAGCGGGTTCTTTTGGATTATTTCGTGAAAATAATACGAAGTCCAGTTCGCACAACGATAATAAATTAGTTTATTTCTTACTTATTGTGTGCTACATACTACTATTACTTGTGCACAATAAAATCTCTAGGCCTAAGTCCACAAGTAAATGTTTTCTCTTTCAACAGAAATGTACTGGTTAATGGTATATTATGACTAAACAGATACATTTATTTGTACAATTCCACGGTTAATCGATCGAGTAACTGAATATACGCTTAACATAGGACTGTATTAGATCAACTTAACACACAAGTTTTGAAAAATTGAGGCGGACGAAAAGATTAACATTTTGTATACCGTTCAGCATTTTTAATAAAGCCTAAAAATATTGCATATAAATAAAATCTTAACAACTAATGCACCAGTTATATTTACAGGTTCCTCTTTTTACTTTTCGTCCAGTAAAACATAATGGGACATAAGTGGTTCTCATATGTATTTCCAAATATATATAGAACTTTGTTAGCCAATGCCAATTTATCGTAGAGAGCAGCACGCAGTAAGTTTTTTCAAAAATGGTGGCTATACCTTACGATTACGACGCAAGAAACACTACTGCAAGTTTGTTTTGATCTGTTACATTCTTCCACGGTTCTAGAGATTATTGTGTTGCTGTTGATTATTAATATTATTTAAACATTTTCCAATTAAAAGTTAACATTCGTTTAAAATGGGTAAAGGTTACAATAACTACATGTGCAAAAAGCCCTTTCACCCAGGTTCGAAAGCAAACATCAAAAGGGTAGGTTTACTGTCACTGTCAGTAATATCATTAACTGTATTTTTTAGCTTAATTTTTAAAACTTTTTCAGCCTAATACTGTGTCATAGCTAATATTTTTTATTAAGTAATATAAAGTTCAAACTAAGGTATAACGTAGTAAATAGTATTATTACAATATTATATTAACTAAGTAGGTAGTAATATTTTATTTTTAATAATACTTTAAGTTGAAAGTTTAATAATACTAGTACTACCACCACTACTACTACTAAGTACACGTAATGATTTATCTTCTTAGTATCACTATAGTCTATAGTGCCACTAATATTCTAATAATAAGTTTAGCCCTTATTCTTTTTATACTGTACTACTTCAAGTTCTTAATTGATTTGTTATTAACATATGTACAAGTTGTATCGACTTGAGACTGAATGTATGTAAAGGAACTACATAACTTTATATTTATGATGAAATAGTAAATTTTACAACAATGAGTTATAAACATGTTGAAAATTATTTTATATAAAGAACATACAGAACATTGGTGTGTGGCCTTCTGGCAAAAACTATGCCTTCAGAAGCTCATACATCAAAACACCACCATGGTAAATGCCATGGCCTATTACATACATATACGTATAACTTAAGGACAACAAGGGATCTGTTGGTCAATCTAGGTCATCCCATCCACTGTTATTAAACTCTAAAATAAAAGTAAAACACTCAAATCCACTTTTTACAATTCAAATATTTGTCAAACCTATCCTTAAACTCCCTTAAATTAATTGCATCTACCTTGCCAAAATTTATACTTGCATTCCCTAGTCTTACCATTCTCACCACTAAATATGAGAAAAAGATTATGCTTCAACATTATCAGTTCTCTTAATAAGCTTAAACAACTCAATCAGATCCCCTCCTAATTCTTCTCTTTTCTCAAGAGAAAATACATTCTCAAATCTTAACCTATCCTCTTATGACAACCTTTTCATCACAAATATCATTCTAGTAGCCCTCACCTGAACCCTTTCCAATAATACAGTGTCTTTTCTAAGGTAAGAAACCCAAGACTGAATATAGTACTCCAAATGTAGTTAAACCAATAACATTAAACCTCTTTAGTCTTCTATTCAATATTTTTGTAAATATAACCAAATCATATTTACCCTACCACTACCTACAGTGTATTGCTTGGATGGCTTAAGAGACTGATCATCCAGAACATTAAAATGTTTTTCTTCCATAAAACTGTTCGTTATTCCCATCAAATTTATACTTAATCATATGACAACTCACATGCATTACCTTGCATTTATTATAATTAAAAGTCATCTGCTCTTTATTTTCTAACTCATCAAATGATCTAAATTCTTTTGTAAAGCAATAGCAGCATCTTCACAGCTAGCAACACCCAAGTTCATTGGCAAATTTAAGTGATTTATTGACCATTCCTTTATCTATATCACTGATGTAAATCAGGAAGAGCTAAGGTCCTAACACTGACCCCTCTGAGGTACTACCCCACTTGTGACATTAATCCAGTTTGACTGAACTCCATTTATAACAACCCTCTACTCTTCCATCTAGCCACTTTTCTGTTCAGTGAGCACTTATAGAAATCATTATTTTTAAAAAGCCTTATATGTGGCACCTTCTTAAATGTTTTCTGAGAATCCATATACACCAAATATTACACTTTTACCCTCATCTACATAAGCGTAATTTCTTCAAAGAATGCCATGAGATTAGTAAGGCAAGATTTTCCCAAAGTGAAATCACACTGATTATCTAACAAAATCTTAAACTTTGTTAAATGACTACAGAGCATATTTTATCATACTTTTAAAAACAGCCCCACTATTGATGTAAGATTAATAGGCCTGTAATTACCAGGACAGTTTTTATCACTTTTCTTGAAAATAGGAGTAACAGAATTGGCAACTTCCAATTCTTTAATACCTGCCCACTATTCAAGGACTTGCAAAAAATAATAGCAAGTAGCTCACATATCCAATCTTTAATCTTCTTCAAAGTCATTTGGGAAATATTATCTGGCCCAGGAGGCTTATCATTCTTTAAATTTCCCTATCTTTTCTTAACAAGCTGAGAATTAATATTGTCTTGTTTGATCTTGTTTTGGAAAATATTGTAGCTGTTCAGAATGAGGAATATTGCTTAAACCTACATTAGTGAAAACTGAAGAAAAAGTAGAATTTGATAGTACAGCTATCTTGTAATTGTCAGTTATGAGATTTCCTTTATCATCGCTCAGAGACCATAGTCCCTTCGTAATATTTTGCTTACCTTTGATTTTCTAAAGAAATTCTTAATGTTAATTTTTACATTTTCATCCAACATAATTTTTTTCATATGGCCTTTTTGATTTTCTAATTTCCTGTTTGACCAACTCTCTTGATCTTCAGTAATTCTCAGTTCCTCACCATAGTGGTGAATTTTAACTTTGTAAACTTATAAAGCTTTTCTTTAGTTTTATCTCTCATATTCTTTATAAGCTGTTCTGTTTGTTTTTTTTTTATAAGGAACATGCCTATCTTGAAAATTTAAGAATTTATTTAAAAAAATTTCCACGTGTGATCATCATGTTTAATTAATTCCATTGTGCAATTAATAATAAATAATTCTTAAAATATTCCTTCAGAATTTTCTTAAACTTGTAACCAAAACTTCTTTCTAATCTTCATAATCAGTAAAGTATCAACTCAGAAATGCTACTTATTCCTCTGTACCACCAAGAGCTATTATTTTCTGTGTAACTGCTGTGGAATTTCCTGCACATGCCACAAGCCTTGAACAAAGTTCCACCCCTACACATGTATACATGTTTTGCACCAGCCTATGATGTAACAGTTATAATAACCAACCCCCACCAGAAGGAGGGCAATGTGACCTCTGTGCACTTAAATCTGTGAGCACTAATATATTGTCATAGGCTCATTCTTTCCTTGGCACTGCCTGTATTCAAACATATTTTTTCCTGTGAATTTTAAGTTTCTAGTTACATTAATCAGTTAGATTTCTTTAATGCTACACTGCTTTTGTCCTTGTTACATTTTTGTTCCATCCACCTTATTGCAACTTTGTTTTCTCTAGTCACCACATTTCTACTTTAAGCTACTTTCCATAACGTATGCCACATAAATTATATAATTAAAAATCCTGAGGCCCAGACATTTCTTTTCAGGCATTTTCTCCAACTAATTAAATAACAACTGGAAGCACTTTATCTGTTCATGGATCTGACAGTTATTTTTCCTTTTCTCATTTAATAGAGCACATGTCTGCATGTGACAGGTCTTAGGTTTCACTCCGTGGCAAGATACTTTTCACATTGTGGATAACTTAGCTTCCACAACCTTATTGAACTGTGATGAACTATGGTATAAACAACAAGTTAACTTATGAGTTTCTCTCTTTCATGCACCAGGTGGTTGGTTCCCATCTGCCTATCTATTTCTTCTTCAGTTCAGATCCCTAGTCATTTTGTTTCTTTGCCTTCTGTGGAGCCTGCCTAACCTACAGACAATTTTGGCCAGCTCTTCCACCTCCAGCCTTTATTTCTGATTCTTCTCTCCTTGATGAAGAACAGGTACTTCCTCCTTTTCTGTTTGCTATGCTCATGAATCAAGTATGTGATATTTTGTCTTTGTCACCTGTATATCATAATGTCTTTAGTTGTTTTAGTTTGTGTACCTTTTGTTTGAAGTCCATATGGTTCCACATCTTTTTTGTCCTACTGATTTTTGTGACTCCTTTACTATGGCTTCAGGCCATAGTTCTACCTATTATTACCCTACTTGTTTACTCTCTTTCTGCTCTTCACCTCATCACTGAGGCTCTTCATTATGACCCCAATAGTGTTAATGGAGATGCTTGTTTTTTGTTTGACATTTTGGTTTGTATTTCTTCCTCTCCTGTCTCTATTTTGACCCCTTTTTTTGGAGGGGGGGGAGTCTCCTCAGTCAGGTTTCCATATTCCTTCCTCTTATATCTGAGACCTCTGTCTTTGGAAGTGTTCCTGACTCCTTGGAATCCTGGCCTTAGGCTGCTCACCTGCAATCTTCTATTGTTTCCTTGATTTTCCATTCACTGGTCTACAGGTACCTCTGTCTGCCATCTATCTTCAGGAGTTATGTTGGGCTACATTTCTCTTATTCCTTGTACTCTCAATTCTGTTTGCCAGCCACCTTCCTGCGTGACTAGCCATCACAGTTCTTGGCAGTGATTATTCTTTGAAACTGATCCTGGGCTTTGGTTCCACTGGTGCCCATTTCTCCTACTTTACACTCCTGCATTTTTCCTTCTCCATTGATCCTAGGGGTTTTCCACATTCTATCTTTTTGTTGTTTATTTATTATCATACTCCACCTCTTATACTTCTAATCATCCTTTTTTCTATTGTCTTCCCACCCATCCATTGCATCTTCATCATCTTTAGGATGTGGTATCCTCTTTGTTGGTGGCAGGAGCCATAGAACCTGTCTCCCACCCCACTTTGGACTTTCATTCCTGTCTTTTTGTCATCCACATGAAGTAGGGGGGTTTGGTACCCTGTCATTGGCTTGGCTTTGAATCCCATTATTATTGTTTTTCAATACCAGATGGATGACTTTCTAAATCTGCATTGGGCCCTTTATCCCAGATTCTGTTTAACCAAATTAGATGTTTTAACTGCCTTCCTTCACAGTTCCATTTGTCCTATGTCCTGTCATTTCTCCATTTTGTCTTTATTGGTTGTTTCTTTAAGTTTCATGCCCTTCCCTTCAGCCTATCTATTTTTTAAGCCAAATCATGTCTTTCTGTGCTTGCATTTTTTTGGGTCCTTTTTTCCATTATTATATCGTTATCTAGCTTCTCCTAGTCTCGTCTGTACAGAAATTGGTGATTACTACCTCCTCTCTTCTTTAAGAGGTCTCATTGCTTGGGCTGGTTGGTCTAACTATCCAAGTCTGTTTTGACGCCCATTCAGTTTCTTGTCTGCCTGGGGGCTTTCCACAACTTCTGTGCAGGATGGGCTCAACTTTTTCCCTTGCGTCTTTGTGGAATCCAAGGTACTTCTCTCTCTCCCATTTTGCAACTGTTACTTCTTCGGGAGCCTTGATTCTCACCAGTTGTGGACATGTGTCTCCTTTGACGGGCTCTGTGGTATTGTTGGAACATGTCCCTTGTGTGTCTACTTTCTTCTCTATATCCCCTTGTCACGTTGGCTGGAGCATTCCAACACATCTCAGGGTATATCACTCTTCCTCCCTCATCCCAATAGCATCTTCCAACCAGTGCATCTATTTCCAGAGTTCTCAACATCACCACCCTCTCTGTGTTAGGAATTCCAGATGAGTATTATCTGCATATCAACGTTTTGGAAATGACTGCAACTTTTTCAGCTTGCCTTCTTTTTGGTCATAGTTGCCCAATCATTTTGTGATTATCCGCTCAGACAACTCTTCAATTGTTACTTCATTCAACTGTTATGGTGTCCTGTGCTCTTTCGCCCTGAACTTTTCTTCTTGGACCTACAGTTGTCATAATCACTTTACATGTCATGTTCCTGGAACTTGTACCTGGTTGAGATTTGTTCCTATTTCAGAAGATCTTGGTTCAATGTTGTTGTGACTCCCATTTTGGAAGTCTCATCTTGGTCTACCTCAGTCGTTCATTTTTCACAAAAGGGTGCTGTGCCTTGTTTTTTGGTGTGGGGTTTGTGCAATCCTTCGCATGACATATGGGATTTTCCATGGAGTAGCCCATTTTCTCTCTCACTCTTGTCAGGCTTCTGTTCTCACCCACCATGAAAATACATGGGCTGGCTATCCCCACTGATCTTCCACTCTTTTCAGCCAGGCCATTATATTTCCTTCTTTACCTGACCTTTCATCTAGGGCCTGTCTGTTTTGTCCAGTACATATCTTGGGGTGTTATCTGTAAGCTTTTGCCTCTTGCCAGGCAATATTTTTTTTACTTTTACTACTCCTTCCCCATCATCTGGTCCCTCTCCCCTACTGGGACTTTTGTATCGTTCTTCAGGCTTTTATGACTACCCCCCTGAACCATTGGTCTCCTGTTCCTTGTTTCATTTGTATGTCAGTGTTTGTTTAAAGCAAGAACACATAGTGTTCATAGCTACTACTATACATGGTACAGTTCTTGGTCTTAGGAGGCATTTGTTATGTATTTTGCATAATGAGGATGTGCTTAGATACAAGAATCACTCAGATGTGATCCTTGTTGCTGAGTTCACTATGAAAGGGCAAAAAGACTGCTTTTTTTTCCATGGGTTTTGATGGATATATCAAAAGTGTTCAGGGAATGTAATACATGCAGAAAAAAGAACGCACCCAACTTTTAATGAGATTACTTTATCGTAAAGCTACCAAACTTTGAATACATCGGGTACATAGATGTGTATTTTGTTGCTAAAGGATCTAATTAGTTGCAAAATTATATGGCTCAATTCAAATGACACAAGTTGTGCCCCTAGAGTAGTTTGAGACTACTTCTTAGAAACCCAAGAATAATTCATGGAGATAGGGATACAGAAAACAAGTGTGTGTGCACCTTTCAATGATTCTTTCCTTTCTTCAAACACTTGACAAATCCATCAGTATCCATGAAAAGAACCAGAGGCTGTCTGCTTTTTCATAATAAACTCAGCAATGACAATCACATCTAAATGATTCTTGAATCTAAACACACTTTCATTGTACATTTTAGATGCTTAAGACCAAGAATGACCTCCTGTCTAGTGGCAAGGATGAACATTTTGTTGATGTTTTAAAACCAGACTATAGTAGGATTGTGTAAGCTCAAATCATCTATTTGAATTATAATAGTTTTCTTTATGTTATTTTAGCCCATGTTGAAACAATGATTCAAAATTAAATAACATTTTCAAAAAACAAATTAAAAAATGATTGATAATGTCAGTTTAGGAACTCTGTACATGACCAGTGTTGAGTTTGTTGGACTTTTTGACTGTGTTACTTGACTAAATGGGAACAAGTCTAGATCAGTGCCTGTGTAAAAAGAAATATGTAAAGTATATTAATATTTTTCTTTTTTCTATTTAGACATGGATGGCAGAGCAGAGGACAGAGAATGAAAAGAAAAAACAAGATGACCTCAGACAGCAGTATGAGAAAGAACAAGACCTCTATAATAATAGGTTAGATGCCAAAACAGGCTTTAGTGTTATCTATGTTTTCCAAAACTATGTTGAACATTTATTGACATGGAATGTTTTTTTTTGTTGTTTTTTTAATTTTTTTTGTTGTTGTATATCTTTGTGTTTTGGATAAAATGACTAAAACATAACTGTTTGATATTGGAAATAATTTCAAAAAACCATCAACTTATAAAATTAACTGTACATATAGAAAAGTACAAAGTATAACAGGATATGGAATGTTGTTAAGCTTCATAATGTACAACTTGAAAAGCTACCTTTTGAAACATCTTTGCAATTCACATGCTCATACTAAAATCATGACTCAAAGAAGAATGAAAAATATTAACTGATTGTAATGGCTTATTAAGCATTTCCGATATGGTACATTACCTCCTCTCACATAAATAACTATTTTCGTTCAGTGCTGCCCTCTATATACAAAATAACTTTTTACTTGTGCCACAAGCTTTCTACCTCCCCTTCATTGGAATTGAAAGATTCCAATGTGTCTCTCATGAAAATCATCATGCATCAACCCTCCACCAATAAGAGTGTGGCATACTCTCATGATGCATGTGGCTCCCTCTATTCAATTCTATCATTTCTTGTTTGGCAGTACTCGTTCAGACGCGTTTTGTTTTGGTGCTCTTCGGGTGAATCATGATTTTAATAGTTTAATTGCTGAAGTGGGATTTCTTCATTATTATTTTCCTCTTTACATTGAATAAATTGTTCAATTTAACATAATTTCCCAGTCTTTATTTTTTTCTCACTCTCTCTTATTTTACATCAAACATTTTTGTTTGGTTTACGTATTTCTACAATGAATTCTGAGGTTTGTGTTCCACTTTTGGTGTTATACCTCTAGCACTATTTTTACAGGCTGCAAGTGGGGGAGACCCATCATTGGATTTGTCTGCTATTATCCATTGTGAGATTGATCGTCATATTGGTAAACCACTGATCCTCCTTTTACTAATGTTCATTGTTTGGATCCTGCTCTGTGGCATGTGGTCCCTGACCAGGTATTCTTTAACTATTCAAATCTGCACTGCCAAGTGATGTCAACTTGCATATTATAATTCAATGGTCACGCAATACACGTTGCAGAGATGGGGTGTTCCACAAGATTACTTGTAGGTTTATCCTTGTGATAGAATTGCTTCATAAGTTTGCCTGTACCATACTCACCCACCCATGGACTACACTGGTAAAACAGAAGGGGATAGCTGCCCATCCATGCCATGCCTTGTATTGAATAAATCGGTAAAGTCTACTTTTAAAAATAGGATTTAGTGGTCACCCATTGCACTGTCTCGGGTGTTGTCGTTCCTCCAGACTCTCCACCATGTTTTACCTCACTTTTCTTCTAGTGGAGTTTGAGAGTCCTTACCACTTTCCAGTTCCAAGCCACTGGGGTGGTGGACCATGGAGGCATCCTCCTGAATGGATTAGTGAAATACAAAATATTAAAATGATTATAAAACCACTCAGTTGAGAGAAGGGTGGTGGTGTTCTGCTGGTGTAAATGGTGTGATATCCTCCAATATGAAACATAAAAACGAATGGGAGTAAGATGTCAAAATTGCAGTTCACCCCTTCAATTGGGATCTCTCTTCCCACCCCCACATGGATGTCAGTTCCCAGTGGACAGGTTTTAGATTTAGAGTAGAACGAATCAACATAAGTCCTCACACATGTATTACAGATGTCTGTATTCCTCCCTCATTTATACTCTATCAGTGTTGTGGGTCATGGTGGAGGTAATTGCAGGTTCTTACGGTTCTTTCCCTTCTGCTATCCCTCGATGTTTCTTATTCCAAGGATGTTAATGCACTTGGGGTGGTTCCGATCAATTTCACTTTTGAGGGCGATGGTTTACGTTATGTAGACATCTTTTTGATACCAGATGTCGGATTCCTGGATCAATCTATCAATTTATCATATTTATATGTGTTCCGTTTGTGAGTCGGGAGGTACTAGATTTCCTCCGGTCTCGTGAACATGAGGTGAAGATGGTATGATCCTCTTTCCTGTCCCTGCCAGATGGCTGGGTTTTGGATTGTAGTTGACTCACCACCAGTATGATCCTCTTTCCTACCTCCACATGGATGTCAGTTCCTGCTGGCCGGAGTTTTAGATTGTAGTTGACTTGCCAGTGGTATGATTCTCTTTCCTACCCCCACATGGATGTCAGTTCCCGCTGGCCTGTGTTTTAGATTCTAGTTGACTTGCCAGTGGTATGATCCTCTTTCCTACCCCCACATGGATGCCTGTATCCATAGGCCTGGTTTTGGATTGTAGTTGACTTGCCAGTGGTATGGTCCTCTTTCCTACCCCCACATGGATGCCGGTATCCATAGGCCTGGTTTTGGATTGTAGTTGACTTACCGATGGTATGATCCTCATACTACCCCTGCATTGATGTCAGTTCCCAGTGGTATGGGTTTTGGATGTGGTTGGCTTGCCGTGTATGGTCCATCGGGCCCTACTCACTCCACACCTAGGGGCACATTCTTTTCATTTTACCCACTTTTATAATTTCTGGGTTTGAGTTTCATAAATATTGCATGGTTCAGAGCACTTTCTGGTCATAGTTCTCTCCCAGTTGGATGTGCTCCTCTATTTTCCACCCATATATACAACATCTTTCTAAGATGGGTGAAGAGTATACCTGGTTCAGAAGTGGTGCGGTTCCCCACATAACATCTAAGAATCTGACAGTTTCATCTTAGGAAGTGTCCTTCAGATGTTTTTGAAGGATGCTTCTTTCTTTCTCTTACACCAGTCCCTCCACCTATTCAATGTGGCATTCTAGCTATTTATGTGAGTGAAGGTAATGTACTATGTCAGAAGGTATAATTTTCCTATGCTGAAAATGTATTTTTGATAGGTACTTACCTGCAGTCACACTTCTCACCCTTCCTCCCCACTGAAAACCGGTGCTTCCATCTACTGCCAAAGCTCGAAGTGATAGTTCTGTAGAATTGAATAGAGGGAGCCACATGCATCAGGAGAGTATGTCACACTCTTTTTAGTGGAGGGTTGACCAATGATAATTTACATGAGAGACGCATTGCAATTAGTCAATTCCAATGGAGGGGAGATAGAAGGCTCAATAATAGCTATTTATATGAGAAGAGGTAAGTACCTATCAGAAATATATTTTCAGTGTAGGAAAATTATAACTTTACTCAGTGGCAAATTTGAGTATTTGAGCTTAGCTGCCCATAACTAAGACTTTTTAACCATCAAATTACTGACTCATTAAAATACTGTTCACTACTGGTGTGGTCCACATATTTTATCATATTTAGCAATTTTATGTTTTTGCCTATTAGAACACTCAGTGTAAAGAACTGACTGAATAAACTGGATGAAAGCACTCAGTTCTTATGTACAATATGTAAGAAATCCCAGAATTACAGTATTGGGAGGTACTTTTGTTTGATTTTTTGTCTTGAAGTAGTGACTGTATACTAATTTGCTGTGATTTACTGGATTTCTGTATATGAAAAATAAGACTTTTTGATAAGTGTCACCTGTATTTTTAGAATAAACAACAAACCAACTGATTATTATTAAAAACATTGTTAACTTGGTATTTTTCTCGACCATTATTAAGGTTCCTGATCTTTTTGAACAAATGCAAAATGGTCCTGATCTGTATCTGTTTAAGAAAGAATTGTGAAAATTTTTAATATTTGTTTTGATTTGGCTTGTGTAAGTGATCAATTTATCCAAATCATAAAGAAAATAAACACTTCTTTCCTCTCCTTTTCTTTCTCTCTCCCTCTATCTTTTTTTTTAAATCTTGTTTCAACTGTGCATATAGGGAAAAGTTAGTTATACTATTACTGTATATGTTTTTTGCATCAGTATAATCAGGTCTGTTGTAAAATAATGTCACTATTAGTAGTAGTATATGTTTTTACATTTGTATTTTAACCTGAGATACCTTGTAGGACTTTAATATTTACAGTATTCTAACAGATTACATGAAAGTACATGTTCTTTATAGGGGAATCAAGATTGAAATAAATTTATTTTTCTGAAACATAATAAAAAAATGATCAACTGTGATGTAAGGTAAGTCATTCCTGCTTGTATTATAGGGCACTGATCAGCAAGGAAAGTAAAGAAAAACTGGCTCTCAATTTTATGTATGAAGCACCACCAGGAGCAAAGAGAGGTAGATGAATTAATTATTCAAATAATTATATATGTAGTCATGATTAGAGTCAACAGAAAAGTCACTAAACATTTAATTACTGTTTTAAGACTTTTATTAAAAAAATGTACATTCATTAATTTTTGTTCTCATCTATGTGTATGTTCTTTCAAATCAATTTTAAAATAAGTTTTTAACCGGCATTGTGACTTCAAAGAAAAAGAAATTCTCACAAAATCATATGATAGTTCAGTAATTAACATTGATTATGTATTAGGTCCAGACCAGAGGTGTAGTGTAGTGAGAATGCGTTGGCACAATGTACCTGCACCTTTTATAGTCAGAACTCTGTACCTCCACTATTTTGAATGAATTCCACCTTTCACGTTTATGCGGTAGATTTTGCCTTTCGGTACTTCTTTATTTAGCACTATACCACTGGTCTAGACTAAAGCTCAGTGTGAAAGCAGATTTATGGAAGATATACGGAAGAATGTTGTAGGAGATACTCGTCATAAATAAAAACAAAAAAAAATTAAAAATCTTGTTTTCTTAGTTACTATTTCTGATACAGTCTTATCTCCTGCCACGCAAAGCTATCTCAATCTTCTATTTGCCCTCTAAGCATTGCTAAAATCTTTGCACTCAGTGCATGAGGGTACATACCCCATCAATTTTGTACCATTTTTGAATATGTACATATCACGTGAATACTCTCCACCAATATGAAAGAGGTACATGCCTTAAATTGCAGGGAGCTAGATTCATATGTTTAGCTAGCGATTTCATCTTCTTTTCAACATGACAATGCTTCTGAGGAAGAATACAATCAATAAGAAGACAATTTGGAGTCTCTTTTTTCCAGCACCTTTTTATTTTGGTCTGTCACACTCTACACCTCTTCAGGAATTTTCACCTTCTACCAGTTGCTGTGCTGCCACGTTATTTACTTTGGTGGAGAATTGTTCTGTTCCTCCTTTCTTCCTATTGCTTTCAGTTCTCCCAGGGGATCTGTGGTAAGTTTTTCGACATGTACACTTCACACCTGGTTAATATACTCATGGTAGGTGCAGCTCAGATGTCCTTTGTGTGGCTTTGTCCTTACTTACACATAGGAGAATTAAGTATTTCATGTCATCAGTGCTCGAGCCTTTGGTAAGTTAGATATTTATGTGTCCTTTGTCCTCTAAGTTACTTTAGATGAGTTGTATGTTAGATATTGATTATTACTTTTTTATTAATTAAATTTAATTGTTTTGCATATTCGTTGATATTACATACTTTGTAGACTTGGCAAATTTCGTGGGTTTGTTAGTTTGTAAGCTACATATCATTACTACTAGTAACATCCAGTTCAGTGTTCTAGCTGACTAAAATAGAAATTAACTATGTGCCTTAGTCACCCTAATTTTCGTCATTGTAGGACTTTCCTGCTCTTAGGGCTGAACTTTGCTTTGGCTCATTTTTCTATGTTTGTGATGCTAGAAACCTCATTTTTTCCTCATAATTTACAATTCAGGATTCTTCCCCACAGTGCCCACATCACCAGTAGTTATTTATTGCTCTTAAGTTCAGTAATCCAGTTCAGGGCTTTACTGTTTGAACAAACCTCGGCCCTTTAAGTGTTTTGTTGGGGTACAAACTCTTACCCAGCATCTTTACTCAATGAGTCTTTTCACTCTTCTTTCTATGAATGAGTAGCTCCTGCTTGCTTCTTCCCATTCACAGTCCAGAGACATCACTCATCTGCTCCTACAAGAATGGGTGGGATTCCTGATGACAATGGGGAAATCTATTCTTACCACCACTCAATACCCCATTCATTAGCAGTTTTTTCTTCATTTCTTCAACTTTCCTCTCTTCATCTTCAGATTTGGAACAAGTAGTTCACAAGTCCTTCACCTCACATTTCTTACAGCTCTATATATGTTCTATATCTTTAGGGATGTGGGCTTTCTTAGAAGCTCTCATTCCCATGGGTTTGGCTTATAGGCATTCCCTTTGGTGGACACTCCTAGATCAGTGGAACTTCTCCTTGGATTCCTTGGACCACTTTCTTACCCTTCCCTCACCAATCAGGGCCAACCTCACTTGGTGGTTAAACAGAGACCAGACCATGGTACAGATGCCTCTTACTCTACCTCGTCCAGATTTACGTATGTTCAAGGACTCATCTTTAGAGGGTTGGAGTTCTTATCTCAACTACCAGTAGATTTCTGGTCTGATTAATCAAGGAGTCTTTTCTTCATATCACCATATTTAAGCCTTTGGCAGTTTGTCAAACTTTGTCCCACTTTCTTCCTCTCCTGTGAGGGAGGGTGGTTACGGTACATTCTGACATCTCCACATTGGTCACTTATATCATAGATCAGGGGTGTGGTGGGGGGTGATACAAATTTCAGGTCTCTGTCCTTTCTGTTCATAGATCACCTTTTTGGGCTCACAGTCACCACATTGTGGTCTTAGCTTGCCATTTTCCTGGCTCTCTGAATCTGATTGTGGATTGATTATCTCCCCCCAACAAGATTCTTCACATCCATGCTTACCCTCCTATTCGACTCCTCTCTAGAGTTCTATCTCTATTTTAAATCACTCCATGTCTCATCCTGCTGATGACTTTGTATTGGCCGGCACAATCATCATTCCTAAAGCTCTGACCTTTACTTGTACAACCTCCCTTACCTTTGTCTCAGTCCTTATTCTGTCAACCTTGGTTAGACATTGTTCATCCAGGTGCCACCATGCTCTGTCTTCATGCATGGCTTTTGTCAGGTCCATTGTCTCAGCCCAAGGACTGACTCATCATGTTACATCTTTCCTTTCTTGATCCATTAGACCCACTTTCGTGTCCATTTACCCCAGGCAATGGTATACATTCCTCCATTGGTCTCATCTATGTGGTTTACATTCTTCTCACCCATCAGTTTCTCATCTTTCCTAATTCTTCACCTGGTTTTTTGACAAAAGCTTGTCCACTTCGACTATGTCCAGCTTTCGAGCAGCCATGTTGAACATCTTCCATTTCTCCAGGTTTCATCTGGTTTGGTCATCCCTTGTCTTTTCCCTCCTTTTCTGCTCCATTGAGTCATGTGTTCCTCACGTTCCTTTGATTTGCCTGATTGGGATCTCAGTGTGGTCCTTTATGCCTTACCCATCTTCCCTTTGAACTCTTGTCTTCATGTTTCATCTACCATCTCTCCCTCAAAACCTATTTCCTTCTCCTTGCTTATACACATTATAGATCAGATATTTATGTCTTTAATGTTAACTGGTTCCTCTACCATTCCTCTTATGTCATCCTATGTCTCAACTGGTCCTTCTTCTCTCAAACCTATACTGCCTATGAAGACCATCTTGCTTTCACATCTATTTCATTATCTTCCATCTCCCACCAGTACTCCCACTCTGATTGGCTTCTTGGTCTGGTTCGCTCCTTATGGTGTTATGTGGCACATCCTGTCTCCTTTCTGGATTCATATTCCCAACTTTTATTCCCTGGAACCCTTCTGTTTCCCGGTACCTATCCCCTGTCATGGTAACTGGTTGGGTTCATCAACTCATTACGCTAGTGTATTTGGACTTATCCATGGATGGTCACCATTTACACAATGTTTCTTCTTATCACATTTGTCATACCACCATATCTTTGGCTTCTTGAATTTGCCATCTGTTGGAAGAGATCATTCAGGCCAGAATGTGGACTACTGCCAATTTCTTTGTCACTCATTATCTGTAGGTTTTGGCTGTATCTTCCTAGGTGGAGAGTCTCCCTTCCCTGGTAATTCAACACTCATTTATTTGCCTTTCAGTATCACTTCCTTTCATTTGTTTTTATTTTCAGCAACCCTTGTTTTTACCATTGATACTGGGATCCTACTCTGTGGCTGGTGTTGTCTGGTCCGGTATGCTTTGACTCAAACCTGCACTATTTGCTGATTGCACTATAATGCTTACTGTAGAGATGGGGTGTTCTGTAAGACCACTGGTGGCATATATGTATATTTTCTAGATATCAGTAAGTTTCACTTCATGAGTAAAGCAGAAGGGGATTTCTGTCCATCTCTGCCGACCCTTTGGTTGAATAATTCGGGGTTGATCTCCTTTTCAAAATAGGGAATCACTGACACCCATTGCACTTTCTCTGGTGTGATGTTCCTATGGACTTTCCACCTGTTTACTCCCCCCTTTTTTTTCCAGTGGAGCACAGGAGCCCTTGCAACTTCCCAGTCACTGGGGTGGTAGACCATGGAGGTTTCCTCCTGAGTGAGCTTAATTTAATTTACCATGTATACTCATGACCATACACTCAATGAGAATAGGGCAAAGCTGGTTTCCCTCCTTCCATTTCCACAGAATGTTTTTTCAAAGAGTGACAGTCATTGATTGGAGCAGGTCCAGCCTATGCAGGATCCTCCTTGTAATACCAGGTTTGGGATGACACTGCCATGTTCCTACAGGTGTGTGCAGTTGAGGCCCCTCTGCTCATTAATTCTGGTTGCAGGAGTTTCTTTCCCTGCTACTATGGCTGAGTTTGGGGGACTTTGTCTGCCTCGTAATATTGGCAACAGAACATACGTACACTGTTCCTATCATTGAGTGAATGTTCCATGTCCTCATGATTCTGGATATAGGATGCTTCTTCTCTGCATTTATGGTACAGTGATTTATGATTTCTGCTCATAATATTGGTTACAGATATTGCCCTGCTCTTACAGTTGAGTTGAGGTAATGCCATGATCCCATAATGCTGGGTTCAATTTGTGGTACTTCTTGCTCCTATGGTGGTTTTGGGAGTTTGCCCAATTTTGGCTGAAAGCTAACTTCCTCTTCATAATCCCAGTTGCTTCACGTATGACACTATTTACTTATGGTTGGGGTTGTTGAGTGTATGTAACATGGTCCAGGTGCCTTAGCCGATACGTGATGCTAAAATATATAGATTTTTTTTTATTCTCATCCTCCTGATGCCAAGGACGAGTTATGGAACCTCATCTGTCTGGTTGAAGTTGTTATGTACATAGCTAATTCTGTTTATATTTTACTATAAATTGCACCTCTCAGAACAAATTGTATTTGTGGAAATCTTTTTTTTCTGCCCACATCAGATTCATTTTCTACTTCAAGGACAAAGAGCATACCTGTTTCAGAAGTAGAGCGGAACCCCACAATTGTGGTTTGTTTTATCTCGGAGCACAACCGTTCTTTCTGGGTGGTTGCATTTCACTTGGTTTCTATGTAGTGTGCCTAAGCCAGCTCTTCCACCTTCGCAATGTGGGATTCTAGTTTTGTGTGAACGGAGGTAAGGTAAGACCGATCAGAAGTGAACATTTTTCTTAGACTGAAAATGGATTTCTCATAGGTACTTACCACTTCTCGCACACTATACATCCTTCCTCCCCATAGCTGGTGTTCTTCTCTTAAAGCCTACCAATTTTCGAAAGTGAGGATTGAGCAGGAATAGCAGATGGAGCTAGTTGCACCAATATAGGTGGTGCAATACTATTGATGTAGAGTAGACACATAAGTACATGTTCAACAATGGTGCAAAATTGATGGGGTATATAGACTGGTGTGCTGAGCTCAAAATTTTTTAACAGTGCTTAGAGAGCTGATAGAAGATTGAGCTTTGTGTGAGTAGAAGTAAGTATCTATTGGAAAATGCACTGATGTTTGTACATGTGTAAAAGCTTAATGAAAAATTATAAAAGTACATTATTTACTCCAGAAAATCTAATCCTCATATATATATATATATATATATATATATAATGAGATAGCATCACAAGTATTTTAAAGGTTTTTGTCACTACTGTGTTCAACTGCCATTGTGTTGAACCTCCATATTCCCAAGTGAAATGACATCAAGCATTGAGTGTCACTATTTTTTTTTATTGGAATAGATCACTTGACATTAATGACCAGACATCTGCTTCCTCTTTCTCAAGTGTGCTAATACATATACTTTGTTGACAAATACTTTCTTTTGTATACAGATTCATCCACCATTTTCCACAAACAGGATGGGAAAATAAACTTCACAAATTCAAATAAATATTACTGTTTCATCCAGTGAATTGTTTCTTTTAGTATACAGATTGTAAAATTGTAGAAGGGAATAATAGATAAGAATTTAATTTTAAGAGAGAACTCACAGAACTAGTGTTTGCTGTTGAAGATAAATTAACTAATGGAATAATTACTTTAGATTAGTTGAAATAGTATAAAATAAAAATGTTTACTTTTTATTGTAACTATTCAGTTGTTATTATGAAAGATGTAATAATTTTACCTTTTTTTTTTTTTCTATATGACCATCAACTTGCTTCAGAAAGACAGGTTGGTAGCTGTTTCTGATATGTTTGTTTATTTTTCAAAGTTCTTCAAACCTATACAAAAGGAGAATGTTTTATTAAAAATATTTCTGATCTTATGTGAAGAAAACACTTACTACTAAGATGATTACTTTTTTCTGTTAAAAGAGTTTGAATATTAACTTAGTAACAAAGTCCTAAAAAAAACATTGTGCAGGAAAATCTTCAGAACAACATTAATACATATGTCTGTAGTTCCTTTGTACTCTTATTAATGAAATTTTCCTAATTTAGAAAGAAGATGATGAACCAGAATACAAGTTTGAATGGCAGAGGAAATACAATGCACCAAGAGAAGAGTATTGTATTAATTTTATTTAGCTATTTCCTCTAATTTTTCGTATCTCTTTTGTTTGACTAGCAACTTTCAAGTATAACTGATGAAGGCAAGAATTCAAGAATGTATTATGATAAAAGCAATGATTTTCAAATGTATTAATTACTTTAGCTTGTTGCACAAAACTTTTATTTTAAGTTCTTACTTGTATTATCTTTTGTTTAAACATTTAATGACCTTGTAATTTGCACTACTACACAAGAAGCTCTAGATTTTGTCATACTTTGTCTTGATAGAAGTATTGGATTTTTACTATAGTTTTGCAAAGGATAATGCAGAGATTCGTGATCAACCCTTTGGAATACCGGTAAGGAAGATCATTTTGTTAAGTTTGTTATGATAAAGAAAACAACTTTGATATTTAACTTTTATAAAGATGTATTTGAAACTAGATGTTATTTTAGTCATGTTTTTGATTTTCTCCACTTTTTATGTGAGTGTTTGCTAAAAATTAAACATGCTAATTCTACTATTCATCTTTCAAGGCTGCAGTATGTGCTTATCATTTTCTTAATTATAACACTTTGATCATTGAAGTACTGGGAAAATCTGCTCAAACAATGAGGACAATTATGTGTGTGTTGCCACATGAATAATGTGACATAAACCTGAACAGGAAAAGCAAGTTACTATGGGGGCATTATAAGGTGATGGCTATTCATCTGTAAAAGAGTAGCTATAGAGTTCGAATTGGGTACTGCTTTTCAGTTGCCATTAATCTGGTTGGTAGTTCCAAATTAAGGATGGTGGCAGCTAGCTTCAGTGTTTCTGCCATAAACGAAACAAACAACTCTGACAACTCAAAGCTATTTACCCTGGATAACATGCGTTTCTTAAGATGAGCCAGTTAGAGCTGTTATGCAACTTATAATGTGTGTACTGCATCTATGGCCTTGCTGTGAAACTTTCACATGGTAAAAGTATTTTGTAAAATACAGTGTCAGAAGTGTTATATTCTTTTGAATTAACTAGAAAACATTGAGTAAAATTAGTTGTTTTTTCAGATTACCAAGAAGACCAGTAATTATGATAATTGTTTGGTTGATTTTTCTTCTTTTGTGTCATTAGGTAAAACTCTTTTAAACTTACAATAACTCTCCTTGCAAAAATGAAAAGCATCTATGCTAAACTGATTTCTCTATTCTCTCATCTTATACACATAGCTTTCAGACCTGGCAGTTTGACTAATAAAATTCTAGTCAGCAAATTGAAATCTGTTTTGTCAAGCAAGAAATCTGAAATTGTATCACATAGTTTATAGTAAAAGCATGGTTACAACCTCCTACTTTGAGACCCCCAGTAGCTTAGTGGTAAGTCTGAAGGCTTATAATGCTAAACACTGAGTTTCAATACCTGTAGCGGGCACAGCACAAGATAGCCCACTGTGTAGCTTAACAACAAAGAAACAAATGTACTTTGAGCTTGAACAACAAATATAAACATTTTCTTATATATCATATCTAAATTATGCTACTTTGTAGAATGCCAGTACAAGCATTGAATTGTTTTATGTAATCAGCTTTAAGTTTTATCTAATATGAAGATAGTATGTAGTTATCAGAACAATGATTTATCATATGAAAATAATTATAGAAATTGCTATAAATATTCTTAAATTGTTAAAGTTGTGTATTTCCTTAGAAACGTTTATTTGGCTGCTAAGGTACAATACCTTACACATTTCTTAGGTTTTGAATAACCTTGATAAAGTACAGTAGTTCTGCCAAAATTGGTGATTGAAGTAAAATATTCTTTCATGCAAATTTTTTGATGTCAGCAATTAAAATGCTAATTCCTTGTAATGATTTATTAAAAATAGTGATTCATTAAAGCTTGATGGTAATGTTTCCAGGTAAGGAATGTTCGATGTATAAAGTGTCACAAGTGGGGTCATATTAACACTGATAAGGAATGTCCACTGTTTAATAAAGCCAGCACATCTTCTTTGCCAACAAGTAAGTGTTTTTCATTTTCCCAGTATAGACATACTATGCAAGTAAGAATGCAATAACAAAGTTTTGTAAGATTTTATTTTAAAAGTCAAACAATTTAACTGGTAATCTTCCTTCTGTTTATTGCAGTGTATGCCATTTAATGCATTAAATGTTCTAGATTAGAATTTAAAACAAATATGGGGGTGGGAGAAATAAACTACAATGTTCAACAGTCAATTTAACATCATAAGATTAACATTTTATATAGTAGTAATGTCATACTAAGCTAATAATATAAATATTCTGTTAAAATAGTACTTGGTCAAATTTATAGAATATTTTTTCATTCTTGGTTAGTCAAATGAAGATTATAACAGAGAAAAAGAAATTAATGTAAACATTGTTGCAAAATAGAAAAAGTAAGTATTAAATATTAATATATGTTAAGGACAAATTTCAGGGAAGTGTATTCAACCAACCTCAAAAGTAGTTTGAAATAATAGTAACAAAAATAAATGTGCATAGTTTAAATGGTTTTATACTTGTTTAACTAAGTAAGATTAAAAAAATTAAATTTGTCAAATAATTCATAGCTTCTAATCACATCTGTTTCTGTGATTAAATGTTAAAGTAACTATATACATCTTTCAAGTTGTTTAGGATAATCTCTTTAAGTCTGGGCAAAAGAAATGACATATATATATATAAACTTCGTATTTAAAATGAATGGAAATTGTACAATACAGTTTCCCTTGTTGTCTAAGAGCTGTGTGGTGTAGTATTTGTTGCTCTAAGTAAGTATGTACATTTTCAGAGAAGAAAGTTGGGCTAATCCTAATAGAATATAGGAGGAGTAAATGGTTAAAAAACCTGCTAGGGGTTTGGAAAGTCATAGATATATGAAGACTTTTCACTTAGCTATAATTTCTGATTTTATAAACTATAGCTTGGATTGATCAAACACAAACAGATTTAAGTATTTATGGTAAGGTTGGGGTGATCGGGTATCAGTTGTCTGTATGGTTACTTAAGTCTAGTTAATAGTTACTTTTTTCTTATTACTAAATACCAGTTAGCTTATGCATTTATTGTTTTGGTTACAATTCTGTTGCTATCTGCAAGGAAGTTGTGAGAAAGATTTTTTGTGGTGGTAGGAAATGGAATTCTGGCCTGGATCTTTCTTGTTAAAAAAGCTGTGTACTATTCATTCTTCTCCCCCCATTACAAACTAATTGAATGTTTTCAAGAGGGCTATTTAGGTTTTTCTGAATTTATGTTAGGTTCACTGAGCATATTATCACTTAGGCAATTGTTGAAGGCTTCTTTTACCTTTTTTTCTCTAATGTGTGGCTCGTAGACTGTTATTTTAGTAGTATTCCATTTGCTTATAATGGGCTCTTGCAGATAGATCACTATTACTGAATCTTGTATGTATGTATTGGAGTTAATGTCCACATGGGAAGATTTTTGTTATTGGGTCTTTAGGTGGTTTTGTGTTGAATTAATTTGTGATTTTATTGTGACTCCTGAATACTGTCCTTACTTAATATGAATAAAAACCCTATAACCCAAGTGCTTTCGAAAGATGGACCTTTCTTCTTCAGGGGCAAACTGAAGAAAGGTCCATCTTTCGAAAGAGCTCAGGTTATAGGGTTTTTATTCATATTAAGT